AGGTGTGGCGGCAGCCTCCGCCCCTCGGCGCCCCAAGCACCGCGCCGCGCCCCCACCTGCTCGCTAGGGACGCGACAGGGTGCAGCAGCGCCCTTCAGAGCTCGAAGCGCCCGGTCCCTGCCGACGCCGCGCCACCGGGTCCTAGAGCCCTTCATTCGGTAACCCCAGCCGTCGTGGGTGAAGGTCAGGAGTGCCAAGTGAGGGGGTAAACAGACACTTTACCCTGTCATCTAACCTACAGTGACACTGGAGCAAGCCACAAAGGATGCAGCCACCTCTTCGGGTCCTCTCTTCGTTCTTGCACTTCTGTGAAATGGGTAGAATCTCTGCCACGGGGAGTTGCAGGAGAATCTTTTAATTCCTTTTTCAACGCTGCCAACAGGGGCGCCACGGGCAGCAGACTTCAGGTAGGGGCTTCTCACATCTGACATCGCTGCCCCGGGTTCCTCCGACCCGCTGCTCACCGCACCCCCCCGCCCCCTACACATAACTTTTAGACGTGGCTCCCACCCGCCTGCCTGGACCCGACGCTTCCCTCCCGTGTTCGGAACGGGAATCGATGGCCGAAGCGGAGGGGCACACCTGCGGACCCAGCGCGGACTCCCCTCCCTTCCCCGCGCGGGCTCGGCTGAGCTTACTCTCTCCCGGCTTCCCCGTTGCCTCGGTCCCCCACCCCTTCGGGCGGGGCTGCGAGTACGAAAGAATCAGAAACAGCTGGGCAGCCTTCCCGAACCAGAGGCCAGGGTGGGGGTCCTGCTGAGAGAGTGGAAGCCCCGGAGCCATTTCTCTCCTTCGCCTTTCCACCCATCCTCCTCTCCACTGCCCACCCCCACCGCCGGGGGTGGGGGAGGCGTGGTAAAATGGGAAGAGGTGGAGAGGTGCTTGCTGTGGAAACTGACTTTCCTCTTCCGTCCGCACTTCCCAGGCTGGCAGGTAGAACTTCTGGAGGCGGGGTGGCCCTTAACTGAGACGTAAAAATTCTTTTTAAAACCCCGAGTCTTCCAACTTAAAGAGTCCGCCAGGGGTCTGGCTCCAACCCCTTCTCTAGCCTCAGTTTCTCCTGCCTAGCCCCTCATTCCCAGGTGTCTTTCGTGCCTCTCCCCATGATTTATCTAAACTATAAAGCCCTGGTGTAAACAACGCGCTGGAAACTGCCCACCCCCTTCAACCCCAAACTCACTGTCAGTTCTTGGTTGGGGGGTGGGGGGTCGGTGTTAGACTCCGGAGTGTGAGCGGACAGGGCGCAGCTGGCTGCAGAGAGGCTGCAGACATCCCAGAGGCAGATATGAAGGAGAAGGGCTCAGAGAGACCTTTATCCCCTCCCCATCTCTTACTCCTTTACCTCACTTTCTGTGGCAGGGAGCAGAGTGAATTCATTAATTCAACAAATATTTAGTTCCTATTCATGTGCCAGACTGTGCTAGGCACTGAGGACACATCAATGAACAAAGCAAAATGAATGATTTGTGCCATCACAAAGTTTACCTTCTATTGGGAGAAGATAGACAATAAACAGTAAACGTCATAAGTAAAACATAGTATGTTAGGAAGTTGTAAGTACAGTGGGAAGTAACAGAGTTGTAACTAGGCTGATTGGGGTAGATCTCATTAAGGTGGACATTCAAGCAAAGACTTGAAGAAGGTGAGGGGATAAGCCAGGCAGATTCTTGGTGAAGAGCATCCCGAGCAGAGGGAACAGCCAGCAGAGACTCTAAGTTGGGAGTGGGCTGATGTGCAGAAGCTAGCTAGCGGGGCCAGCCAGCTGGAGCAGACTGAGTTAGGGAGCAGAAGAGTTCAGATACCTAACAGGAGTGGTCCAAGTCATGCAGGGGAGAAGGTGACCTGGAGTCCAATGGGAGTGAGTGAGGGTTGAATACAGAGACCAAGCAGGGTCAACATGCTGGCCATATCCCTCCCTGCCAACCTGACCCTTCCCATCCCCTTCTCCTGTCTCAGACTGGGAAGCTCCAGTCAACCCTACTGTTTGCTCCAAAAGAGGCAGATCTAGACTGAGCTTCCCTGAGAGGGGCAGGTGAGAGAGGAGCAGGCCCAGGCTCATTCCCGGACAGGCCCCTTTCCTTGGACCACTCTTTCTCCTCCGCCTAGCCCAGTCCCACCCTGATGCCGGGCAGCAGTCCGCAAGCTCTGCAAGCTCTGGCAGCCTCTCCCAGACTCCCCACGTGTGTAGGCCTGGGTGTGACTCTGGCCCTGTGTTCATTTCTACATATGGGCCTGAGGTCGCAGGGTGGGAAGCTAGAGATGATCACATCAGCCCCAACCTTGGGTGGACTCGCCCACATGGGCCCCAAACTCACTAACGAGGCCCCTTCTTTGGCTTCAGCTGTCTTCATAGTCAAGTGGGACCGTGTCTTGGCACAACATAGATGCTCAACTATTAAAGCATGTTGCTGAGCTGAGGGGCCCTCCAGAACCATCAGCAGCTCCAAGAGGGAAGGCAGTGGGTGAGGGGGCAAGACCTCTCCCCAGTGCTGTCAGGCTACCTCTGCCCAAAAGTGGACAACCCAGGATGGGGTTTTGCTTCGTCTTCCCCTCCCCTCTGAGCCTCCCCGCTCCCCAGGAGGAATCCCGGGCTGCAGGAGCCAGCTGACTGCAAGAGCTGCACTCAACCACTTAACTAGAGAACAAATACAGAGCCAGAGAAGAGGTTTTCTGGGATCTGCCACTTTGGACTTCAAATCTCAAAATAAACTTCCAGTCTCAAGGTCCTAGACTCTACTGGAGAGCTCAGCTCCTCACGCAAGTGCCTGTTGTGGGGCTTCCAGGCAGAGGGTCAAGGCCAGAGCTCAGGCTAGCGCCTGACCTGCTCCTCCCTCCCATCCCTCACTCCTGTCCACCATACTTGGAGGCGGGCAGGGAGAAGTCACTGACTGGGGAGTCAAGTTCTGGTCTGGAGGGCCCTGCCTAGAGTCAGGTTGGCACTTACAGAGGATCTGCTATCCGCCTGGCACTGGCCAGGGCATCCTAAATAACACAGGAGAGAAAGGGACTTACCCCCAAGGCATTTTCATGCAAATACAGTAAAACCACCTGAGGGCTGGCAGACAGAAGAGGCCTGAGGAAGAATCCCAGAGCCCCCCCCCCCCCACCAAGGCCTCTAGATTCTCTGGGGCGCCAGCAGAGCTAGGCCTCCCTTCTTCCTCAAGATGGCACCACAGCCTCCTGCCCTCTCAAAAGTCGGTGCCCCAAGGAAAAGGGTCCCCCTCACCCCTGGGTCTCACTTCATGTTCTGCTCCCACATGGGGCCACTCAGAGCTAAAATCTATCTTTTTTTCACTCCATTCTCAGCTGTGTGTGGCTGAATGATTTTGAATTTTTCCTGGCCCTTGGAAGTGAGTGGAGATGAGCTAAGGGGAGCTGGGGTGTGAGTAAACAGCTCTTACTCCACCCGGGTCTACCCCCTTTGGAGGCCCCCCCTTCCCTGGGCCCCTTTGGCGATGACCTTCTCTCTTTCCCGGTGGGTGGGAGGTGGTGTGGATGGTAACGAGCGGAGAGAAGGGAGAAAGGCCGAGAAGGGGCTGGGGGGAGGTTTGGATAGGAGTCAAGGAATTCCTGAGCCTGCTGCTTGCACAAGGGGCCCTGAGACGCCTTTCCTGAGAGTTCTTTGCAAACCAAGGCAAGTCTCATTTGAAATGGGGCCAGGTTCACCTAGGCCTCTAGTGCCTCCTGCCCCGTCTCTTCCTCCGCAGCCACACCAGGCAGGTGTCTAGGGAAGAGTAGGGAGCATGGGAAGAACCCAGGGACTTTTAAGGGGGGTGGGGTGGAGATCTATGCTTTGTACACAGCCTGACTGGCCTCTCCTTGGTATTTATGAGCTCCCAGGCGAGGCATGGAACG